GGGTAAAGGTTGAGATGGTCTAATAATTAGACTAGTATTTTGTATGTTTACTACCTTACTTAGAAAATAATAAAGGCAGGATTTAAAAAATATCTAATAAACAAACAAATAATAATAAAAAATAAACAAGGCTGTCAATTTTCTGTTCTCCATCTATGAAGGGAATTGTTTGTTTGCCAGTAAATGGAGCGATGTTGATTGAAAAGTAGATTGTATATTTCCAAAAATGGATAACCAACCATTATTTAATTCTTTACTCATCTACATTACTTTCTGGAAAATCCTAGATGTAATTTTATTTATTTATTTATGCAGTTTGCATACTGTTTTTTCCCAAAAAATAAGACCCTGTCTTATATTTATTTTAACCCTGAAATAAGCACTTGGTGTTATTGCCATGCGCTCAAAAGCCCAATTGGGTTTATTATCAGAGGATGTCTTATTTTGGGGCAAACAGGGTAGCAGCTTATCTTACACCAGTGACTTTGCCAATCTTATGCCATTTTTTCATCTTATAAGACCCTGTTGAAATAGGTGCAGATTGACCTCATGTTCTACTGAAAACTCTTAATTTCAATCAATCAGAATAGAGTTGGAAGGCACCTTGGAGGTCTTCTAATCCAAACCACTGCTCAAGCAGGATATCCTATACCATTTCAGATAAGTGTCTGTCCAATCTTTTCTTAAAAACCTCCAGTGGTGGAGCACCCACAACTTCTGGAAGCAAGCTGTTAATTGTCCTCACTGTTAGGAAGTTTATTCTTAATTCCAGGTTGCTTCTTTCCTTGAGTAGTTTCCATCCATTGTTTCTTGTCTTGCCTTCTAGTGCTTTGGAAAATAAGTTGACCCCCTCTTCTTTGTGGCAGCCCCTCAAATACTGGACTACTGCTATCAGAGGTGATATTCAGCAGGTTCTGACCAGTTCTGGAGAACTGGTAGCAGAAATTTTGAGTAGTTTGGAGAACCGGTAAATACCACCTCTGACTGGCCCTGCCCCCATCTGTTCTCTGCCTCCCGAGTACCAGCTGATCAGGAGGAAATGGGGATTTTGCAGTAACCTTCACTTGGAGTGGGTTGGGAATGGGGATTTTATAGTATCCTTCCCCTGCCACACCCACCAAGCCACCGCCCACTAAGGCATGCCCACAGAACCAATAGTAAATTTTTTTGAATCCCACCACTGACTGCTATCATGTCACCCCTAGTCCTTATTTTTTCTAAACTGGCCATAACCAATTCTTGCAACCATTCTTCACATAGTTTTGTCTCCAGGCCCTTAATCAGGGGTGAAATGCTCCCAGTTCGGACTGGCTCGGGCGAGAAGGTAGCGATGATGGCCAGTGGTTCGGAGAATCGGTAGCAATGGCAGCTAGAGGCCACACCCAACCTGCCGCTGAATTAAATAAACAGTGTGTGTTTGCGCAGCCGGTGCATGGACCAGAGCAGCTCATTCAAGAAGGAGAGTGAGCAACTCCGGTACCTTTCGGGCGCTTGCCTTCCCTGACAGCCAGCAGCGGGAGAAAGGTGAGCAATAGGAGAATGGTGCATTCCCCGACTCCGGGGAATGGGGCGGGTGGGCAGAGCCATGTGGCAAAAGGCGAGCAGGCAGCAGCTCCGCGGCAAGACCAGAGGCGGGGAATGGGGCGGGTGGGCGGAGCTGCGGGAGAAAGGTAAGGACACGCCGGCAGAATAGAAATTTAAAAAGTTGTTCTACCGGGTTCTGTGGGCGTGGCTTGGTGGGAGGGGGGTCTTGTGACTGAGTGGGCGTGGCTGTGAGTGACATCGAGTTGGCCATGCCCACTCAGTCACAGGACACCCCCCCCACCAAGCCACGCCCACAGAACCGGTAGGGAAAAAATTTAGATTTCACCCCTGCCCTTAATCATCTTAGTTGCTCTTCTTTTCACTTTTTCCGAAGTCTCAACATCTTTTTTGGAATGTGGTGACCAAAACTGGATGCAGTATTCCAAGTGTGGTCTTACCAGGGCTTTATAAAAAGGTACTAATACTTCACATGATTTAAATTCTATTCCTCTGTTTATACAACCAAGGGCTCAAGCCATTTAAAGATGCTAGGTCACATCAACCTGGTAAATTCATCAAGTATTCCATGTATATCTGAAGCTTTTTTAAAAAATGCCATGAGAATGACATAATTTTGTTACAAAAGAGAAAAAGCAAGTTTTGAAATGGCTTACAATTATGAACAACAATAAACAGTGAAGGTTAAAAAGGCATTCGTTTACTGTCCTCCTTAAAAAAGAAGGAAACCTCAAAAGATTGAGAATCCATCAATCTGGATACTTAAAAAGCTAGCATAAAAATGAATCTGACCCTGAACCTAAACAATGGTTAACCAGGCTGTCAACAAAAATACATTCAAAGACAAACTTCACAAATCTGCCACTTACTTCAATGGATTTCAACAAATCCAGTGACTCAATTTATTGTCATTTATATAGACTATAAGATACCATGCTCCAAAACACACATTAAGGTTTAAAGCTATTATGTATTTAGACCATTTATAGCATGTATGCCTGCCAACTGAGGGGTGAAAACAAATACAAGTTGGTTGGGGGGGTTTTGTGTGGACAAATTGCCAACAAAAATTAGGGTCGATGCCATTCTCCCCTTATGAAACCGTGAATTCATTAAAATTCATTCTATTTTACTGCCTGCCGTACTCAGACAGTTTTCCACTGCAGTTCTCTCTTTTTTTAAATTAAAGAACAAATGAACAGTCCTGCTTAAGAGCTTATCATACATATTTTATGTTGTTTGCAAGATAAATAGAAGTCTTCAGTTGTCAATTCTATTGCTTAGCGCATTGTAAGCCACCCTGAGTCTCCGGAGAAGGGCGGCATATAAATAAAATTAAAAAAAAATAAAAAATTCAAGCATGTAAATTATGTAGACTGATTTTTAAAAAAAATCTACATAGAGTCTACATACAGTCTACATAGGAGCCTGAGTGGCATAGGAGGCTAATGCCTCCTACTAAGGCAGCATTTAACATCCAGCTGCCTGCAATTATTACAAGTTCAATTCTCACCAGGCTCAAGGTCGACTCAGCCTTCCATCCTTTCTAAGGTGGGTAAAATGAGGACCCGGTTTGTGGGGGCAATAAGCTGACTTTGTATAAATATATACAAAAGTATGAAGGCTATTGCTTAATGCATTGTAAGCTGCCCTGAGTCTCCGGAGAAGGGTGGCATATAAAAATAAATAAATAAAAAAAAATAGATCCTTTTATTAGCTTTCTGGCTTGTCCAGCTGATCATACAATACCACAACTACTGTGATAGTTCTAGTTCAGTAGTTCCAGAAAGTTTCTGCTGTTATCTTCTACCTGCTCTAGCTGGCATGGGCAATGACAATAGATTGGGAAAGGATTAAATGCCCTGATCCTACTTATTCTCCAGGTTTCCCTTTCTTTTCCCTTCCTTTAAAAAAAAAAAGTTTTAGCTTTTTATCTTTTTTCAGATTCCTTTTTGTTCTTTCCAACCCATCAAAACGTTGGAAATAAATGGTGAGAACTCTGTCTTTTTGTAGGATATCTTTCTGAAAACTCAGCTGCAACGGAGCAGATTTGGAGGGGTGGGAGAAGCTGGGAAAAAGGAAGTTTAGGCTAAATCTCAATTTCATTCTGTTAAATCTCAGTTGGATTTTCTAAGTGGCTGAGGAAAAAAATGAATCCTGATGGGACAATGCAGTTCGACGGTGATTTAGAATGCGGAATACTCCCCCTATTCCTGGAGGTGGTATTCAGCTGGTTCAGACCGGTTCGGGCAAATCGGTAGTGGAAATGAAGTCCTATTTAGGCACATTTTTGAGGCCGGGTGCATGCACAGAAGATGTGCGCACAAGCAAAGCGCATGCACACATGCTCACATTTGCAAACCGGTAGGGAAAGTAAGTGAATACCACCCCTGCCCATTCCAAATCCCATTCTCTCTTCGAGTTACTTGACTAGGAGTAGAATATGTGCAGCCTTTTCTATGCTTTCTATTCAGAAAACAACAACACCACCAGTCACATCATAGTGGGAGAGCAGAATCACTCCAGGCTTTGATATCATCCATGTATTGTGTCAAATATGCAGATGACACAAAATTGCAGTCTACCCAACACCCAAAATAAGAGAATGAGATCATAATAGTTTGGACAGGTTGGAGAAGAGATATGAAATCCTTTTCTTCTATGTGCTGGTAAACACTTGGAGCAGATTCTACAGACCTTTCCATTAAACTATTGAGAGGTTATAATATATTTAGTACTTATCACATTAACCTACCTCACAGAGGAACTGAGAAAATAGAATAGTTTAGATATTGTAAGTATGTATGTTTCTAAACCTCGATAAAGATTCTGAGTCCAAATTACAAAAGCAACATAGCAATAGCACTTAGACTTATATACCGCTTTACATCTCTTTATAGCCCTCTCTAAGCAGTTTACAGAGTCAGTATATTGCCCCCAACAGTCTGGGTCCTCATTTTATCCACTTCGGAAGGATGGAAGGCTGAGTCAACCTTGAGCCTGGTGAGATTTGAACTGCCAAACTGCAGGCAGTCGGCAGGCAGCAGAAGTAGCCTGCAGTACTGCATTCTAACCACTGCGCCACCAAGATTCATAATGAAGATAAATGAAATGAAGAATGAAGATAAATGAAAACCATAGAGTGTTTAAGTGGCAATCCAAGTGGAAAAGATGTTTCCTGCCTGCTTCAGACAGAAAGATGTTTTAAGTGGAGGCTGTTTAAAGTCATAGAAAAGCAAGAAATCAGAGATTCAGTGAATAAAAAAAAGAATACATCCAAATGCCAGTGCAAGGACGGTCATTGTCCTCTAAGATTCTACAAACATCCTCAGCCAATATTTGATCTTGTGTCTGAGGTTTCCATAAAAATTTGCATCACAGTGGTGTGTCTTACGCTTTAAGGTACTTCCAAATTCTCAATCATTTTAAAATTGGTCGTATCTAGAAGATGGTCTTACCTGCTTCTTTGGTTCGGATCACTTTAGATGGTGTGCTTGGATCTCCTGTTCCAATTTTGTTAGTTGCTACAACTCTAAATTCATACTCTACCCATGGGTTCAGTTCAATTGCCGTTGCAGATTCCAGGTCACCCCCTATGTGTTCAGGAACTGTGAAGAACGAAGGATTAAAGCATGCTCCCTAGAATTTCTCTCTAATCAATAAACCGAAGCTAGAGGAAACAACCCAGACTTCGTGGCACAATTAAGAATTTGACCTTTGCCAATTTCTATAACAAAGCTGCTTTTTCAAATTCATGATCAAATATCCAACAGATTCAAAATTTCTTCAAATGCTGCAATGCAGGTTTTGCAATTTAACTATGCTCAAATAAATATGTCAATACTATTTGGAGGTGAAATGTTATTTCATACAGATTTTATTTAAATTAGGGGCAGAGTTCTCTTTTAACTTCTCTCCATTTTTCTTTTCTTTTATGCTTTAAAGATACGTGGGTGTATGTGGTAGCATAGTATCAGACCCGAATCTCTGAATACTATCTCCACCTTGTTTTATTCTGAAATGTATTCCGGATATACTCTTATCCAACCTTATAAGGAAACCTTAGACATGACTTTTGAATATCCCTTCTGAAAAGAAAAAAGGAGATAAAAGTATCCAGTAGAAGAGAGAGAATCAACTGTGGAAGACTCAGTGGTCTTCCAGCATTGAAATGTCATCTCAAGTGATACAGAAAAAAGGAACTGTATATTGTTGTAGGCTATCATGGCCAGTAGTTATTAGGTGGTGTTGGACTTCAGGATTTAGCGACTGTGGTCTAGAAAACAGATTTCCTGATGTTTTGATTGCAACTTGTGCCTGGTACAAGGGGGATGTGCTTTTTAGACCACAGGCAATTAAGCAGGGACCCACTGGACTCTGTCTTTATAACTAGGTCCTAATTGGCCTTTAGCCAAGTTGGTTTCTGATTGGTGCAGGTTAGTGAGGGCTGGTCTCTGATTGGTTCTTTGTGCTCTATATACATTATAGCAGGGGTGAAATGATCCCGATTTGGACCGGATCACCTGATCCGGTAGCGATGGCGGCGGGTGGCTCGGAGAACCAGTAGCAAAAATCCCTGGCCCCCCCATGCCCATCTAAACCACGTGATCATCAGAGCCCTTTTTTTTAACTTTTAAAAGCATTTTTTCTAAAAGTAAAAAAAAGTTAAAGGAAAAAAAAATGGTTTAGATGGGCATGGGGGGGCGAGGGATTTTTGCTACTGGTTCTCCGAGCCACCCGCCGCCATCGCTACTATATAATGTATATATAATGTATATAGCCTTTTTTTTTTCCGGCTGAAGAGGTTGTAGAAAAAATGCTTTTAAAAGTAAAAAAAAAGCCTCTGATGATCGCGCGGCTCAGCTGGGATCGTCAGAGCCTTTTAAAAGCATTTTTTCTACAACTAAAGAGGTTATAAAAAAATGCTTTTAAAAGGCTCTGGCAACTCTGATCCCAGCTGAGTTGCCTGATCGTCAGAGGCTTTTTTTACTTTTAAAAGCAAAAAAAAAAAAAAAAAAAAACTTTTAAAAAAAAAAAAAAACCTCAAACAACAAGAAAACAAAGCTGGGATCGTCAGTCTTTTAAAAGCATTTAAAAGTAAAAAAAAAAAAAGTTGGCCACACCCACCCAGTCACATTACCCCTGCACCAAGCCATGCCCACAGAACCGGTAGTAACAAATTTTACATTTCACCACTGCATTATAGGCATGTTTTGCAAGGAAAAAATTATGGAAGCACAGACAACAAACACATCTGTGTCCATGTAATGATGTTCATAGCATCTGGATAAAAGAACTATGCCATCTTTGGATTGCTGTAGTTCATTTCAATGTAGAGTCTCACAAAAGAAAAGGCAGATTTTCTCTCAGCAGAAAATGGTCAGAAACAAAAACAAAATAATAGGGGAGAAAAGCCATGTCTTGCTAAATTCCCAAACACTGGTGTGAACTGGAAAAGACAATAGGAAAAAAAAAAGAAAGAAAGAAAGATCCTGTTTTGCTTTTCCATATTAGGAGTCTTCTGCAGAAGCAACTAATGCAGAGGTGGTATTCAGCCGGTTCAGACTGGTTTGGGTATACTGGTAGTGGAAATCGCGGGTGGCCTGATCACTTCCCCTGACTTTATGCTGCCCTGTTTAGGCATGTTTTTGAGGCTGGGCGCATGCACGGAAGGCGGGTGGGACGAACCAGTAGTAACAAAATGTGAAACCCACCGCTGACCTAATGAATCTAATGAACCTGCTTGATTGATGTTAAATAATAATAATAATAATAAAAATATCTTGCCTGTTTTCAGAGTCTGCCAGCCAAGTGAAAACGGACTTCGCGCTTGCAAGTTGTAAGACGTGATAGGGCTGTGGTTGTCTGCTCCAGGAGTCCACGAAAGAGTTGCAGTGACCTCTGTGATTTCTTCAACAATGACAACCCCAGGAGGGCCAGGTGGACCTGGAAGGAAAGAAGGAAAGAAACAAGGAGGAAAAGAAGGAGAAGAAGGAAAGAAGGTAGGTAGGTAGGTTGAATGCACCGATTTTAATTCACCATTATTGCACTGTGCATACATCATCTAGTCTGCTAATTTATCCAGATTGACTAGCATAATTTGGTGACGAGTAACCTTACAGGTATTTTAAGGGGCTGTGTCATGATTACGGGTGCCAGACATGGACCAGAAAAATATTCAGATTCAAATCCTTTCTCAGTTAGGAAAGTCACTGGATATTTTTGAGCCAACATCTTTCAACATGATTCAACCTAGCAGGTGGTGAAAATAAAATGGAGAGATAGCAAAAAAGAATAAACACACATTTATACCTTGGAAAGGTATAGTTGAATGCAAACGAAATAAATAAAATAGGCTAATATAGTCTGCAGAACATTATTAGCCCGGAATTGCCATTATTAGTCGAGAAATTACTGTTAACCATTATTGTACAACTATTAAGAAGCAAGCCCTACTAATTTCCATAAAGTAAAGATGCAAAAATATGGCTAATGTCTTTTTCACTACTATAATGAGTATGTTTTTAAAGATAAAGAACTGACTTAAAATATTGCCAAAATATAACAGTACTATTAACTCCTATTTAATGGTACTTTTTATATATCTTTTGAGAACAAGACCTAGAGATCTGTGGTAGCTGCAAATGTGATAAAATTACAACACATGTTGATGCCACAGTATCATTCTCCTTTTTTGTATTTTTGTTCTTATGTCAGACACAAGTATGAAGGTCATGGGTTTTGTGTTGTCACATATTTCACCAGTAAATGCCTTTGAAGAAGACTAGAGCTGGACACAAATACTCCATCATATTGTGTTGATGGTGTTGGGATAGGACAAAGTGGCTGATATAAAACCTCCCAGTAAACTCCATAGTGTCAGCGTTCCAGAAACTCCAAGTAAAGACTCTGAAGCAAGCATTTTTCAAAGTTCTATTTATTAGAATAGGTAAACTGGCACATCTGGGAAAACCCGAATCTGAGAGGTCCGGGTTTTCCCTCAGTAAATCAAACCTCAAAACCATCCCCTCACTCCTCAATCACATGCTCCAATCAACCGCCGTCCCATCTCGAGACCTCACTCCGACCACTCCTTCTCCAGATGCAGGATCGCCCTGACCTTGACCGACAGGAAGAATGCTATTATGTGTACAGACAACCCCTCTACTAAATCCCCCCTCCCAGTTTCCCACACATGAGAAGGTGGCAGCATGGAAGCTTCCGGGCTAAAATGGCTTCCAAAGCTGACACATAGTTAATTTTATTTATTAATTAAACTCATGAAATTTATATGCCATCCATCTCACTGGAAAGAGTATTAGTTATGTTCACTGCCTTATTTATAAAAATAATAAAAGCAGGATAAAAATAAATACTTGTAGATACTCTTATACCATTTGCTGCCACAGTTTCTCCTGTACCTTCTAAAATCTTTTAAATTTAACAAACTTTACAAAGGCAGCTCATGTCCATCCTGCCTTTTGAAATGAAGAAACCATTCATGGAATTAAAGATTTAAAATATGTAGGAAAATATACCTGTACTTACAAGTGGAACTTTGAGGAACAGGATAATACATTCGTATTTACCCCAAAATAAGACCCTGCCTTATATTTTTTTGCTACCAAAAAAAAGGCACTAGGTCTTATTTTCGGGGAGGATGTCATCCACTGACTCACCTCACTTGCACTCATTGCCCCCCGGCCTCCTTTTTGCTCTCAGAGGCCTTCAGGAACTTCTTTGGTTTCAGACAGTTGCCGCCAGGCCTCGCACATTTCGGCCCATTTCCAGAGCTCTGTTATCCGCTACAGAGGCCGTCGGCTACAGCAAAAGAAATGGGCTGAGATGCGTGAGGCCTGGCTGCAACTATCCAAAGTTAAGTAGTAGAACAGCTCCAACCCACCCCCATCCCATCCTAGCTTAATTTTTACATGTGCACCCTGGAGTGGGCGGGTCTTAATTAGGGCTTATTTTGGGGCGGGGGTGGGTCTTATATTGGGCACACTTGTAAAAATCAAGCTAGGACTTACTTTCTGAGTAGGTCGTATTTTCGGGAAACACGGTACACGGGGACTTAAATCTAAAGCTGAGTCATTAAAAAATATAATGTTTGCCTTCAAATGAATCAATCTGAGATTATGCCAAAGAACTGACTGTTTTAAAGTCTTCCTTCCAACTGTGAAGCTACACTGTGAAGAATCTCTTGGCCATTGAATCTGGGATGAGCATTAAAATCAAGAATGATAAGAATATTACAGAGATATGATTGTCTATCTGAGAAAGTTAACACTTAAGTGTCCATTTTGTCAGAGTGTGTACAGTGTGACTGCTAGTTTGAGACAACCCAAGAGCAAAATACAAGACACAGAGGTTTTGTCTTTACAAACAGTGGTTTATATACAAGTTATATACAGTATATATACATACACGTGCTAAGCAAAAGCTAGGCAAGCAATCAGTCTTCTTCAACTCTACACGAAGAACTATAATGCAGACACATACATCTGCATTGGAGAGAGAGTGACGCTCTCTAATGGCCTCCCTTATATAGGCAGCTTCTTAAAGGGCAATAACCCTGCTGACTCATCCTCAGTCTTAAAGGGCCACAATGGCTGGTCAGCTTTAAATCTGCATTACCCTGACACATTTCATTGTAACCAATTGTAGTCACTGAACTAGTACTATCTGTACAGTTGAGTATGCAAATGGCCTTGAAGAAAGGATTCAAATGTTATGTGAACATAAGCTTTGCCCAGACATACAGGCAGAGTAAGGAAAAACCCCCCACAAGATTTATTTCACCTTGGTTCTTGATTCTTTAGACTAACAGGGGAGATAGTTTCCTGCCAGTTTTTAAGATTCTGTTATTACATTCTACAGTAAGATAGACTTCTAGTGGTTGGTGTGGTATCTGTTTTGTGACTTGCGTTATCTCAAATGGCTCTGACAGTAGGAGAACATGGAAATCATAGTTTTTAAATTCTTTTTAGTCCTTTAAAAGTAGTTACACTCTAGGTCAGGGGTGTCAAACTCGATTTCATTGAGGGCCACATCAGGGTTGTGTTTGACCTCGGGGGGGGAAGGTGTGGCCAGGGTGGGTGTGGCCAACTCAACGTCACTTGTGTCATGGGCGCCTGTGGCGGCCCAAGCACTCTGCCAGCAAAAACGTGCTCCCGAGCTCCATTTTCGGCTGCCACAGCAACCTTCTGCCAGTGAAAACAGAGCTTGGGGCTCCGTTTTCGTTGGCAGAAGCACCGTGGGCCGGTCCTTCACTGTTTCCAGGGCGGCCCCACAGGCCAGATCTAAGTACCCTGTGGGCCGGATCTGGCACCAGGCCTTGAGTCTGACACTCCTACTATAGGTCTTGTGGTTGGGGAATGACTGAGAATGCAGAAGAAGACCATATCTGCCCCTCTCATTCCTTTCTACTGATGCATGTGGGATTTTCTTCTGGATGGATTTTTTTGGGGGGGGAGAATTATCAGGCTGACCAACAGACAGACAAGAGTTCTGATGTTCTTCACATTAAACATTTCAGATTATGAGCATATGGGATTCTAAAACTCCAAAACATAATTGACTAATATATACAGATATTTTTTTTTAATTGCCCAAGGCCCAGTTGGTCTGCAATATATTTTCTTCATTTGTTTAAGATACATATTGTGTGAATTTATTTATTACATTTGTACTCTGTAGACAGTGGGGCTCGATGGCTGCTCTTATTCATTTCAAAAGAGTCTGTGCAGAAAGTGGTGCTCGGAGCTTCATTATTTCTCTCAACAGGAGAGAATTTTAACCCTTAAAAAAAAAATCTCAGCTTCCAGGTAGACTTTTGATCTTTAAATTCAACTGATGTACAGGTAAGAATGGAAAGAGGCTCTGGCTAGCTTTTGGTGCAGCATTGCGTTAATCTTTGTAGTGAAAGCAGGATCTTCTTTTTAATAAATATGCCCTGTATCTTGAGAAGGAAGATGGCACATTTCTTTGTGTGTGTATGTGTATATATGTGTGTGTGTGTGCACGCGTGTGCGCACAGTCACTATCATGATTATGTTACCAGGAACTGTCTGATTGAAAATATTTTTTTAAAATGAACTTTGGTTTTTTGTCCAATTCTTCAGACTTGCTGAAAAAGCACCAATTGTCCATCAAGATTTCATGTTAAATAGGAACGATTATAGAATACTCAAATAGAGCAATCTATTCTTGAGTCACATTCTATGAATTTTTGATTTTCATCCTGCTGCTTATTTCATGAATTTCACCAAACCATAATGTAGCTGGCTAGGGTATGGCTTACTGTCTCACATTAATCCAGCCATTGTAGTTTGTAAAGGATGGTTTGTCTGTCACTTGCTCCCTTCATTACACTTACTTACAAAGTACTGCACAAATGTCCATTAAAAACAACAACAGCAAAGCAATAGAATTTTGAAAGCCTGGGAAAATAAATATGTTTTGAATCCCTTCTAAAATTGTAATAAGGGCTTGCTTCAGCTTCTATAGCATTGCGATCCATAAGGTAACCAAATCAACTGAGAAATAGCAATAGCACTTAGACTTATATACCACTTCACAGTGGTGTAAAAGTGTTTTTTACAGCCCTCTCTAAGTGATTTACAGAATCAGCATCTTGCCTCCAACAATCTGGGTCCTCATTTTACCAACCTCAGAAGGATGGATGGCTGAGTCAACCTTGAGCCACTCAGAATCAATAATGATTCCTTCTAAGTGATTATTTCAATTGTGGTTTTTAAATCATATTTACGTTTTATGGGAGCCACCCAGAGTTTGTGGAATTGGATACTATATTAAGTCGTCCTTCAGATTTAAAGAAGGCAAGGTCTTGTGCAGGTCATCTGTGAACACAGAGATGGCTCTGCGCTCTCAGTCTGGAAGTATAGAGTCGAGTAACCCTAACCCCAAACTTGTGTGAATAGACT